CTCTCGGATAAGGTGTGTCTGTACCTGGTGCCAGGGGTGGTAACAGTAATGTGGCCCAAGGCCTGGCTCCAGTTTTCACAAAGAACTTTTATTTGCATGTTTTTCTTTGAAAGCAGGGCATGCACAGATGATTGGACTTTTGTAGTTGCTTTGTTCATTCTTTTAGTACTTCGTTGCCCTTTTTAGAATGAGAGAGTTATTTTTTTAAGGATTTATTTATTTATGCATGAGAAACACAGAGAGAGAGAGAGAGAGAGAGAGAGAGGCAGAGACACAGGCAGAGGGAGAAATAGGTTCCCTGCGGGGAGCCCGACGTGGGACTCGATCCCCGGACCCCGGGATCACGCCCTGGGCTGAAGGCAGACGCTCAACCACTGAGCCCCCCAGGCGTCCCTAGAATGAGAGAGTTGAATTGGTTTGATTGGCTCAAGGATGTATATCCAGTACCTATAACTTCTGTTCAATGAATAAATCAGAAAAATAATTGGTTTGAAAACTGGAACAGAAGGGAGATTAGTGGCCGAATCGTAGATGCTGCTTACCTTCTCTGCAGAGACTTCGCATGCACTTGCTCAAGCTGACCAAACACAAGGTCTCTCTCTTTTCCCTTCTGGGGAGAGAAACTCTGGGCAGGCAACCCCCAGAAAGATAAATACCAAAGTTGTAGCAAACGTTATTTCCAAACCTGTTCTAACAGTTAATTTCTTCTTCTCCTCCTCCCCCTCCCCCTCCTCTTGTTCTTCTTCTGAAAAAGGCGTGTTTATTGTCCAGAAATATATATTAAAAAGTTCCCCACAGAAGATGCTGTTCTCTCATTGCCCATCTTCTTCCTCTTCTTCAACATCCCTGATACAAAAAGCATTATTATACCTTATAAAACTTCACCCAAATGTCCAGACAGTGCTCTATGTATCCTTCTGTGTTCACAAGCCGCATGTTCACGTAGCGACCTCAGGTACCAGGCAGCCTGTACTCCACTCCTCACTTGAGTTTCACCGTTCCTGGCTTTCCCGTGAATCCCCTGAGGAAAGGTTTGGGACTGAGGGGCAAGCTCGTCTCAATGACAAGCACATGCTGTGGGCCACTTGCCACCAACCCACCTGTCATCCGTCCCTCATGACTGCGGTAACTGCAGCCAGGCACAAATCCTGCGTTTGCTGTCTTACTTATGTCTATCAGTCACATTTTCTTCTTTGGACATGTTAATGTTGCAACTGAAAATATCTTACTGCTTTTTCCTACAAAAATTCCAAAATATTGACCCTACCTTGCCATTTCTAAGATTTTATTTGATAGACAATGTTCTGTCTTCATGAGAAGCAGTTGCAAGAGTAAACTAGGTGGTGGCCTGAGCGCCAGGAGGGCGTAGTTGGGAGACACCATTCCCCGGGTGACCTGTCCTCCCTGGGAGCTGCCAAGTGGCCTTCACTGCTCTAGCACGAATTATTTTTGGATCCAACATTCTATAATTCACACTTAAACAAGAGACAATGGAATGAACATCCTGAAATTTTTAAAGAAGACTTTCTTTTGCCACCTACCATCTAAGCATGACAGACCAAATCTTCTGAAGAGTCTTCAACACCCACAGCCTGGCAACTCAGAAAAAAACTCATGCACAATATACACTTTCAAAAGTATTTTTAGTTCTTCCATGATGTGACATTTTATTTTACTCTTCTTAAAAACATTTAACTGTCAGCAATGGTTTATGCCTGGTAAATTCTGTAATCCTTATGAACGACTCCCTTAGTTCTTCGAGACAACGGCAGCTTCATCCTAATTTGCCCAAGTTATAGCAGCTCAGAGCAATCCGGTGTGGTTGGGAAATAATGGAAGTTTACCAAGGGGAGAGGTGGAATCTGCTCTTCTACAACAAATGGATCCCAAATCCTAATCTAGAAGAAGACACGCTTGCATCTACCCGGGTTCCCATATATGAGATATCTTAGTGTCCTTGGGGAAAAAAATGGCAGATCTAAAGTAACTAATTTGAGAGTGGTTTTAAAAATGGATGCCTTACAATGGTGTGGGTGGGGGTTGGGGTAGAAAGGAGATTCCCAGGGCCAGCAACAGCAGGGAGCTACCACCCCTGGGCCTTAGAGAGACGAACAGCTGCAGAAACTCAGGAAGAGTCGTTTTATAAAGGGAACTTGCTAGTCCAGACCTCACCCTCTTGCCCACTGCCTCTCCTTGAGCAAGGCTGTCAGAAGTCAGATGACAAAAGGGCATGTTGACCTGGCCTCCTGAGACAGGACAGAGAAGGGCGGACAACGGATTCCAAGGCAAATAGAAGATACGCGGTAGATGCGAATGGAGGGAGGCAAGGGTAATCACCGGAGAGTTCTTCTTTATCTCTTTGTTCATTCTTTCATTCATTCCCACGTTAGTTAAGCACTGCCTGTACCTGAAAGCACTTTGGAAAACACAAGTGAAGGAGAAGGATGGTAAGTCGTCTCTCCTCTCAAGGAGCTTATATTTTTTATTGAATGTGGGAACGAGACACAGCCATGTGGAATGTCATAAGACAAAGCTCGCAGAGAGTGATGGTGTGGCCGAGAGCATCAGAGGGGCCTCTGTGTGGGCCCTGAGAGAAGGCAGACCAGGGAAGGCTAGAGGACTCCAACGGGGCTTTGTGGGATTCCAGGGAGAGTCTTGAAGCCTCCAGTCTCCACCTCAGTACCTCTATGGAGTGATGGACTGGCCTAGTGATTTCTCATTGGATTCTAGACCTATACAAGAACTAAATATACGTACTGTGTTTTTATTGAGTCTTTATACTGTGCCAGGCATTCCACATACAATATCCCATGGAAGCCTTCCAATGGGATTGCTGAAATTAGTGTCATTTTTCATATCTTATGTATGAGAATAAATGAAACTCCAAGAGGTGGAGTGACTTATGTAAGGTCAGATGCCTGGCGTTAGAGGAATGGAGATTCAAAGCCAGGCATTTCTGACATAAAATTCTCAGCTACTAACCTCCTTGAAGAACGACAATAAAGGACTCAGCAGTGGTGCCTGCCTTGGGGGTCAACATTGTCCTGGTAACACTCTCGTGCGTTCTCAGATAACTGGTACTTGGAATTTTCTCCCTATTTGAGGAAGCTGCTTGACTTGAATAATAGGATATGTTTTCACAAGTGCTGCCTGCACTTAGGTACAGTATTGGCCTCTGAGAAAGCCTGAAGGGAAGTGCCATTGTTTTATCCTTCCTATGGAAAGCCATCTATTGACTTCTGATTATGCTTGGAATTAATTCTATGAACTATATGGACAAATGATCTGGCTTCTCCTACCTCTGATTTGATCTCCTACTATCCACTACTTACTCACTCGGCTCCAGCCACACTGGCTTTCTCCTCGTTGAATAAGCTTTGCTCTTCTCACCATAGGTTATTTGCCCTAGGTGTTCTCTCTGTCCAGAATCTTCTCCCCACAAATCTTCACAAACTGGCTCCTTTTGTGACAGTCTCAACGGAAACGTCAGAGATCCCTTTTTTGACCATGTCCCATCGTGCTCTCCTACTCAATCTGTAGAACATCATCTTGTTTCATAATCACTGTAACACTCATCACCAGGTAATATTTCTTGTTGGTCTATTTATTCTCTGCCCACAGGAGGCTCGGAAACTTCCGGTGCCTTATGCAATGCTAGATAACTTCACATCTTGGATAGTGCCTGGATCCTTAAATGGCTGCAAATGAATGAGTAAACTCATGGAGATGAACCCTGGTTCAGAAAGAAAAGTGGTAACGGTGTGCTATATTTATATTTATTCATTATTTCATATCACCGGCCTCTCAGGTATTATTTCTACTATTACAAGATGAGAAAAGTGACATTTAGAGATGCTCAAGGTCATGCAAGCAACAGAGCAGGGCTACAACACGTACCTTTTGACTCCATCTCTATTGAGCTTTCAAAGCCACTGCTCTGTTTGTCTGAGTTACGGCCCCCAAGTACAGTCTGAAGTGAGGCCAACGCTGATTTTTCTCTCATGTGTTAATATAGAAGTGATTGTCTCCACCGCATGGTGGCGTCATCTCTGGGTCCAGGCTAGCTGTTCCAGTTATTGCCATTCCCTCGCCAGAATAAAGGGGGAAAGAGTGAGGGGAGGGCCACAGCTTCTTTGTGAGGATGAATTCAGGAAGCTGTAGGGAACCCCTTCACCAGAACTACGAGAAAAGCTGGTGGATGTAACAGCTGGTTTGGAGAGTGTGTGCCCCATTAGAACTTGGCCATTTCTATCACTAAAGGAAGAAGGGGAGACCAGATATGGAGCACGGTAGGCAAACTGTTCGGTCTTATAACAACCGTGTTAGGTAGAGATTCATATCCTTTTCATTTTACGTATGGATAAACTGGGGCTCAAAGAGATTAAAGAACATACCATTAGTCCAGAAAAGGGCAGGACTCGTGACAAGATTCCATGCTGTCGCCATTTCATCATTATCATCTCTCTCTCACTCTGTCTCACATACACACAGACACATACACACCACAGCTCAGCCTTCTGTGCTTAGGTGGGATTTACTCCATTCTCATCCTTAGGATCTCATTTCAGCCTTGACCTACTAAAGATAATTCAACCAACAAGGACAAGTAAGTAAGTAGAGGTGAAGATCCCAGGGCTAGGCCCGGGCTGATCCTCTGCAGCAGAGCTTGCCTTCTCCTAGGTACAGAGGGTGCCTGGGGAAGCTGCTTCCAAGAGGCACGGTGTCCTGATAAGTCAGGACCTGGGTCTTGGGTAGAGGAGTTTTGTAAACAATGAGCCAGGAGTCCCTGACTCTTGAGCACAGGAACCAACAGGCCATTAGTAGGTACAGTGGGCACATGTCCTTGTGTACTGGGATAATCCTTGTTCACACCCCAGCACGCTCATTAAAAGTATCCCCTCAAAGTTGCCCTAGTTCAGGTGATAAATTATATGGTCACCCTACCAGTAGCCCAATGCTGCCATTGGTATTCAGCCTTAGAAAAACTGGGGCAGGCGGCGCGGTCGGTGGGCGCCTGCTTCTCCGCTCGTCTCGTCGGCGATTGAGAAATCTTCACTGAAGATGTCTAAGCAACAACCAACTCAGTTTATAAATCCAGAAACTCCTGGCTATGTCGGATTTGCAAATCTTCCCAATCAAGTTCACCGAAAATCAGTGAAAAAAGGTTTTGAGTTCACACTAATGGTGGTCGGTGAATCGGGTCTAGGAAAATCAACTCTCATAAACAGCCTATTCCTGACTGATCTCTACCCAGAAAGAATCATACCTGGAGCCGCAGAGAAAATTGAAAGAGCTGTCCAGATTGAGGCTTCGACTGTGGAGATCGAGGAGCAAGGGGTCAAACTGCACTTGACAGTGGTGGACACGCCCGGCTACGGGGATGCCATCAACCGCAGGGACTGTTTCAAGACAATCATCTCCTACATCGACGAGCAGTTTGAACGGTACCTGCATGACGAGAGCCGTTTGAACCGGCGGCACATCATCCATAACAGGTGCACTGCTGCTTTTACTTCATCTCACCCTTTGGACATGGACTTAAGCCCTTAGACGTCGCATTCATGAAAGCAATACACAATAAGGTGAACATCGTGCCCGTCATTGCCAAAGCTGACACCCTCACCCTGAAGGAGCGGGAGCGCTTGAAGAAAAGAATTCTGGATGAAATTGAAGAACATAACATCAAAATCTATCACTTACCTGATGCAGAATCAGATGAAGATGAGGACTTTAAAGAGCAGACCAGACTTCTCAAGGCCAGTATCCCGTTCTCTGTGGTTGGATCCAATCAGCTGATTGAAGCCAAGGGCAAGAAGGTCAGAGGCCGCCTGTACCCGTGGGGTGTTGTGGAGGTGGAGAACCCAGAGCACAACGACTTCCTGAAGCTGCGGACAATGCTCATCACCCACATGCAGGATCTCCAGGAGGTGACCCAGGACCTTCACTACGGAAACTTCCATTCTGAGAGGCTCAAGAGAGGCGGCAGAAAAGTAGAAAATGAGGACATGAATAAAGATCAGATCCTGCTGGAGAAGGAAGCAGAGCTCCGCCGCATGCAGGAGATGATCGCAAGGATGCAGGCTCAGATGCAGCTGCAGATGCAGGGTGGGGATGCTGACGGTGGGGTCCACGGGCACCACGTGTAAGATAACGAAGACACTCTGCAAGATACAGAAGATACAGAGAACATTCCGCATGAGTACCACGACTGCGTGTTTCCGAGAGATCATTGGGGGGGGGGGGTGTGCCCATCCACATTTTATAGTACCTGTGCCTGAGAATTTAAATTTTTTTAAACTTTCGATGTGTTTTGTATGAAGTACTTTTAACATTTCTATTTCATTGCTTTGTCATACTTTATATTTTGTGAGGTGAACCTTCCATTTTCATTTTTCTTCCACCTTAACTAACCACTGATTTTGGAACCGATTTCCAGGATCAGTCCGTATGTATAATTAACATTGAATTTCTTTGATTTGGCTGGCCTAACTGAATAATTGTCGAGGAGCACTCTTGATTTCATTTCTAGAACATTCAGATTTAGCCAGCATGTGCCTGGGTGCTAGTGATGTGGCCCCAGTGATAGAGAGAGGTGAGCTGGCGTCTGCAGGGCATTTACTTACCAGGTCACCAACATGGAGATTCTCTCTTGCTTTGCTTTGCTTTGAGCACATCTGAAACCAGTTTTGCTGCTATAATCCAATACTGTTAACTCCTGCACACTTACTTTTTTACCAAGTAAAACAATAGAATTATCTAATATGGTATGTGTATACTAAAATAGCTCTTTTAAAAACAGGCGGTTTGCTTCAAACTTTAAGAGGTCTCTGGATTCTGATGCTAGGTCATTTTTTAAACTGCTCTGCAGAGAACCTGCGGCAAACCACGTTTTGTCGCGTTCCCCCACTGATGCTGGTTATACTCTGCCGTGGACAGCAAGAGTCTGTGAACTCCAGTTTTCATATTACAACGTTCTTACCCATACAGAGAGCGCCAATAGATGATTTTTACTCAACTAACATGAAAAGTTACTTTTTTAAGGAAAATTTAGAAACCAGCTTTTTTATGCTTTTTTACAGCACTCTGATGTGCTTTCTGTAACTACAGGTGTACGAGATCTTCCTGAGCCGTGAGCGTCGGGATCCTTGGTGGAAAGCCCTCTGAACCCAGACCTGGCCTGAGGCTCGTGGCCCCATGATACCTGAGGGCCAACCAGGTTTTCCTGATTTGGCTTTCCTTTAACTGGTTCTTTAAAATTTTTAATAGTTTTCTGAAAGGAGGCAAATAGCGATCATTTTATATGGAAACTGTTGTCCGTTTTTAGCCATCGTCGTGTCCTTCCCTATATGTCCTACAAACCTGCCCATCTGCCAGGTGAAACTAAGAGACCTTTCAAATCTGCCCCATGGTCCAACTGCTTAGACGCCACCCATCAGACCTGTCTTCTGTGCTCTGTGCCCTCCCCTTCCGTCCAATGGGCACTGAGGCCCCAGGGCTTGTTATTTTCAGCATTTATACTGACAATGGGAAAGTGGTCCCCAGAAAGTGATGGGTGAAAGGAGAGCTGAAGGGAGCAGGTGCTGGCGGTGTTTTCAGTTTGCTCTAACAGGAGGAATAGAGATGCAGAAAACACCCCGTCTCCCCCCGAGGATGGGAAAAGTTTTTGTTTGAGTCAGACAAAATAAAGTGACATGGTCGAAACGTTTGTCACGGAGGTGGGCTACAGACAGCAATCAGGTGTCCCAGGAACTTCGTCTTCTCACTGTTGCACCAGCCTTAGGCTTAGGCACAGGTGTACAAAGTTCTAACAGGAGGAAGTGTTCGCTGACGTTAGAGCACCTCCGTACAAGGCCAGTTGTTGGGTTATTTTGCCTTTAAGTACACTCGTAAAAGGCTCTGTGTGTGTTTGAGTAAAACTACTAGGGCCAGCTGCCACCTGGTAAGCATAGTGCGGGGGGGGGGGTGGACCCACACTGTCTCACTTCTAAATCCCCCTTTGTTTTCCTGCCCAAATCTAAATAAATACTTTTACTGATAATTGCTTTTACTAAGAGATCACCTTTACTTATAGAAATGTATTTTGAAAACTTACTTTACACAATGATTTTGTATTCACTGAAACTAACCTTTTATCAATAAAGCACTATTGTTTGGCTATTAAAAAAAAAAGAAAAAAAAAAGAAAAACTGGGGCAAAAACTATAAAGATGTTGGACAGCTACCTAAGCAGAAGAGGTGCCTAAGTATGAGCCCCCGAATTTGACTGCCATTGTAAAGTCCCAATAAGAAACTGATCAATGGTTTAAATTAACAGTAATTCCATTCTTCTGGATAACCCCAAATAATCTAATTATCAAGGTTAACTTCATAATTCATTCTTAGATTACCAAAGAGAGTAAAAATGTCTTGGGGGTGTTTTATGCTGCAGTATCATTAATGATTAAAATGTCTGGGAACAGAAGCATGTACAGTCACAAATTATTCAAACCACATAAGACTTTATAAAATTCTATCTATGAGAGGCATTCAATAAATAACCCAGAATTCATCTATTTCATGTCTATGCCCTTTGGTTTCAATGACATTCTCATTTTTCAAAACAATATTGAGTTATGCTGCACATGGAGTTTCAGAAAAGTTCTTCCCAGTTAATCAAAATTTACTCAATTTGTAGCACAACAATTTTATTGCCCAGAAGTTATTATTGATGCTCTGTATCTGTGAACCTGGTTGAAAAAAATCCTAGAGGGAGACTTGCAAAATGACAGTCCTCCAGTCACTTTGTTTTTGGGGATCAGAAGCATGAAATTAAAGATCAACACATAAAAGAAGTTTCTGCTTCTTGAAGTTAGGTTGAAGTAAAGCACAAACCCATTATCTAAGAATAATGGGTAAAGGGAAAAAGCAGCAATCTAAAGAGAGCTCACTTAAAATGGAACAAAATTGTACAGTTAGTGAAAAGAAAATTTTCTGTAGGATGTAAAAAATTAAAGCCTGCAGAGTTTGGTGTTACTTCCCAACAAAACTATACTTCAGCATATTCCAAGTTGCATTTGATGTTTAAATGACCCTAAAGAGGATCACTTAATAAAAATGGGTGAGGGGCTTCATTGGTCTCCCCAGGGGATTCTCTTAAACATGTTCACAGCCAAGTATTCTCTTTCGGAGGGCTTAGCTAGACAGTCTCCGTGTCCCTCTCTCCTCTTAGCTGTCAAGAAGTCTAACCCTGCGGGGCCTTGGTTATCAAAGTCTGAGCATGTGTGATTTTTAGGCAGTTTTCTAACACCACTTCCATCAACCTCATGAAACCCCACACCTTTGGTAAGAGTTGCCTTTTCTCTTTGCGGTCAACGTGCACTGTATTAACAATGCATTGTTGGATATTCTAAACGACGGATGATCCTGGAGGCCAATCAACAAAGTCATTGATGTAATTGCTGGGAATCAACACTAAATGGAGCAGAATATTTGAATAGGGAGAAACTTTATGACTGTTTGGTCTGTTAGACAATGTCTTCCTGTGAAGGCCCCCATGGCAGCTGTGTAGCAGCAGGGCCTCAGGTAATAATCTCAGGTAGCCAGGACTCCCTGTGCTTTAGGCTTGAGCCCCGACTTCATCAGCTTGTTTTGTGGTCTTGAGCAAGTCACTTCATCTCAATAATCTTACAAACCCGAGACATCCAGATTCTTTTTCTGGGATCTGAGAAGTTCTGCAAATATGTTTTTAATATGCATGCTCTCAGGGAGTGTGCTAATATGTTTTTTTTTTTTCAATTTTCATAAGAATCTAAACCACCAATCTGGAGTATCTCTCATGACCTCTAAAGTTGCTTCTAGCTTTCACATTCTCTGACTTCTGATTTTCCCTGGGTAAAATCATCTATAGGGAAAAGTGGAAGATTGGGTTAGGCCACAGGGGAAAAAAAAATCTGTAAACTGTTACCTGCAATTAGTAAAGAAGTGCAGGTAGGTAATACATTAATTCTGACCATAATCCACCTCCCAGCAACCTCTGAAGCTTGTTTTGAGAAACCAGATTGAAGATTTTTGAGTTTGTTGTTTCAGAGAAGTCAGAATGCTATATACAAGATTTAATGATGTCTGTGCACATTGTTAAAGAAGTATTGGGCACTCAGCTCAATCTATTCCTAAGGATTTGAGACATCACTAAATAATTACCATCCTATATTAGTAATTAATTAGGACTAAGATCATTGCAAATATCAAAACCAAAAAGATAGAAAATGATGCATATTATCTGATGTGGACACAGCAAGTAGGGTTTCTGAAAGTAGTAGAAACTGGGCCTTTAATACAGCTATTCTAAATCTTGACATCATCATAGCCATAACTTATTACATACTAAGTGCTAAATTTACCTTCCGAATTTTAAACAGACCTTAATATGATATTCTTGTCTTGTTTTTTTTAAGATTATATTTATTTATTCATGAGAGACACAGGGAGAGAGAGACATAGCCAGAGGGAGAAGCAGGCTCCATAAAGGGACCCCAACGTGGGACTCGATCCTGGGACCCCAGGGTCACTCCCTGAGCCGAAGGCAGATGCTCCACCACTAGCCACCTAGGTGTCCCAATATGATATTCTTGTAATAGAAAATAGAAAAGAAAAATTGGAAAATTGCTTTGGTGACATCAGTTCTGTCTCCAAGACTCTTTGGAATCTTCATTAGATTTTTTTTTTTTTTAAATCTGAGTCTCATTTCAGATTTAATGGGGAAGTCTGGTATGACACTGTTGCATCAGTGTGTAGGCCTAAACTCACGAAATCTTGAATGACATTATTCGACAGTGGGGAAGATAAGGCCCAGGACTGCAGGAAAATGGTTTATATTTTTTATTTAGCATTCACAGGCAAATAGAGCCTATCCCTCCATCAATGTGGGTCTCAAGAAGGCTATGCAAAGACTTGAAGCACTTATAGAAAGTAAGTTAATTCAAATATAATTAGAAACTAGAATATGAAAATTTGCTAAAATGGCTTACTGACAGACTTTCTTAGCCAGGGAAATTTTTTTGATTTTTAAAGAGCTCAGAGAGACCATTTGTTGGACTCCTGATCAAACCATGAATTCTTACAGGTATGAAAAAAACATATGAACAAAACAACTGAACCTGTCTTAAAAAGACAAAGAACATGGTTTACTAATTCTAGATTCAAATGGGACAGAAATGTTAAGTAACTGACAGTAGGCAGAAATTATTTTCTATTGCCAA